GGGAAGGAAAGAAAGTCCCCCACGCCTGTGAGAGAGATGTGACCCATGCCGCATTACTTCTCTACTTGAAGTTCCCAAAATTACCCAAATCTTTTACAATCCTAGCAAGGTCCCAGCCACTATGAAAACCATGCCCACGCTTTGCCACAGTACACTAAGCATGCCACAATTTGTTTTTTTAGCAAGCAATGAGGCCTAGCTTATGATCTTGCACACAAGCCAAGTGATTTCATAAAGCCAGGTTGTATATCTATAATATAAAAATATTTTGATACGGTCGACTTTCAGGATTGGATTTTTAAATAACTTACAATATTGAGTCATCTCAGCATTGGTTCATTGTATGCACACAGACAAATCAAGTTCTTTGGCAGCCTACCTTTCTTTTTGAAATGGACTTTAGCATAATATGCATCTTCTTCTTCAGAGAGGCCCCTGGGTGACTCTAAAAAAAAAAAAAAACAGCAAAAATAACAAAAATGGTGGACTTATAATTACAAATAAGAATGAGCTAAAGAAACAGTCACATACAGCAGGCTGGCTACCCAATCAGCGGCGGCCGCATGTAGCAAAGGGTGGGAATGCTGGTGAATTCATTGATGTAATATGGACACATGGACATCTATGGATAATGTAATTAACCAGATATGGCCATGGGACCATATTAAGTCAATGGAGTCATCAGCTTCCCTCTCCCTATGCTACGTGCAGCAGCAGCTGATTGCCCCAGTGGTCTGCAGTCATGTCACAATTTCCCAAAAATTCAGGCCAAACTCAGTTTGGCTAAAAACTTAGCCAACAAAGCATACAAATTTAGAAGGTGTTTAATAGGGAAAGTACAGCACAGCATACAAATATGGAAGGTGTGGAATAGGGAAAGTACAGCACAGCATACAAATTTGGAGGGTGTGGGTAGGGAAAGTATGGGACAGCATACACATTTGGAAGGTGTGGAATAGGGAAAGTACGGGACAGCATACAAATTTGGAAGGTGTGGAATAGGGAAAGTACGGGACAGCATACAAATTTGGAAGGTGTGGGAAAGGGAAAGTACGGGACAGCATACAAATTTGGAAGGTGTGGGAAAGGGAAAGTACGGGACAGCATACAAATTTGGAAGGTGTGGAATAGGGAAAGTACGGGACAGCATACAAATTTGGAGGGTGTGGAATAGGGAAAGTACAGGACAGCATACAAATTTGGAAGGTGTGGGAAAGGGAAAGTATGGGACAGCATACAAATTTGGAAGGTGTGGGAAAGGGAAAGTATGGGACAGCATACAAATTTGGAAGGTGTGGGAAAGGGAAAGTACGGGACAGCATACAAATTTGGAAGGTGTGGGAAAGGGAAAGTCCTGGACAGCATACAAATATGGAAGGTGTGGAATAGGGAAAGTCCTGGACAGCATAATCCTACACCCACAGTTGATCCAGAGGAAGGCAAAAAAACAACAACCCAGTAAAGCATGATCCAATTTGCTCCTGCAGGGGAAAAATTCTTTCCTGATCCCCCGAGAGGCAATCAGATATTCCCTGGATCAACTTTACCTGTAAATGTTAGTATCCAGTTATATTCTGTGTATCTAAAAAAGAATCCAAAGCAATCCATGGAGCTGGCCAGAACTAACTTTTGAGGAAGTCTATTCCACATTTTCACAGCTCTCACTGTGAAGAAACCTTTCCGTCTTTGAAGATTAAATTTCTTTTCCTCCACCGTCATACCTGCATCTGGAGGGTCCATTGGTGTCCTTGTGGAAGTCAGTGATGGTTTGCGTCTGTACTTAACAACAATGATCACTATGATGGTGATGATGAGGAAGAGGAGGATGCAGAGAATGATCAAAACGGTGTATGGGATTGATGTAGCATTGTCAGAATATGTCCCTATTGAGGAAGAAATACATTTGAGAGAAAACAAAACTCAGTGAGCACAGGCCACTGGACAATACCTGGATGGGATGATTTTGCATAGGACAACAATGTGAGAGCCAGTAGACTGAAGATGAACATCAGTGGTCAAGGTACAAGCACACAGATACACTGACAGGTTTGCAGGAGTCCTGCATGGCACCAACAATCTGCTGATCGCTGTGCAATGCTTTCCAGGCTCACAAAAAACAAAATAAAAATGTAAATGCACATTTTTTTACCTGCTAAAAAATGGGCATTTGTTACTTTTTTTTAAAAAAAAGTGAACTTGAACTTTCATTTCTGATTTAGAGTATTAAGAGATTCGGCTTGATGATTTATTGTTTCCATGAAAAACATATTTACAGAAAAGGTACTATAAAACATACAATAGCAACAGTAACATAATGGGGTGAAAAGTACTAAGTAAAATTTGCCTGGTCTTTGGTTTTGTGCAGAGTAGTTTGCTGAGTAGTCCAAGCTGATAACAGCTCTCATGAGTGACTCTCAAAGTGTTACTAAACCCCGGAATCTGCATTCACTATATCTGGTCTTCCCGGACCCTTCATCCACTATATCCGCTCTCCCCAGACCCTGCATTCACTATATCCGGTTTCCCTGGACCCCGCATTCACTATATCCGCTCTCCCCAGACCCTGGGTTCACTATATCCGGTCTCCCTGGAACCTGCATTCACTATATCTGGTCTCCCCAGACCCCACATTCACTATATCTGGTCTCCCTGGACCCTGCATTCACTATATCCAGTCTCCATGGACCCCACATTCACTATATCCGCTCTCCCCGGACCCTGCATTCACTATGTCCGCTCTCCCCGGACCCTGCTTTCACTATATCTGGTCTCCCCGGACCCTGCATTCACTATATCCGCTCTCCCCGGACCCTGCATTCACTATATCCGCTCTCCCCGGACCCTGCATTCACTATATCTGGTCTCCCCAGACCCTGCATTCACTATATCTGCTCTCCCCTGACTCTGCATTCACTATATCCGGTCTCCCCGAACCCCGCATTCACTATATCTGCTCTCCCCGCTCCCTGCTTTCACTATATCTGGTCTCCCTGGACCCTGCATTCACTATATTCAGTCTCCATGGACCCTGCATTCACTATATCCGCTCTCCCCGGACCCTGCATTCACTATATCTGGTCTCCTCGGACCCCGCATTCACTATATCTGCTCTCCCCTGACCCTGCATTCACTATATCTGGTCTCCCCGGACCCTGCATTCACTATATCTGCTCTCCCCTGACCCTGCATTCACTATATCCGGTCTCCGCGGACCCTGCATTCAAAAACAGCCTTTTTACACAATGCAGAGGATTAACCCCTTAGGTTCCACAGTGAGTATAACAAGCATGCTTTACTGCCTATACAGACTGATTGTACTGATGTGGGTTTAGTAACACTTTAACATTCCTTCATAGTTTCAATGAGGGTGAGAGCTACTGAGCTGCATAAGCAGCCATCTTTTCTGGTCCCTGAAAAGGGCGTTTACAGAAATAACACAACCAATCAAAGGCTCTGACGGGTGAGCTAAACAGATGTTGAAGTGTTTCTTGATGTTCCAGTGGACACGCATTTAATGCCAACTTCTCTAACTATATCTATGTTTTCAGACGACAAGTTTCCGCAATCCAACAACTAACATAATAAATAGAATGAAATTATGATTTGATATGTACCAAATATGATACATCATATGCATTTTTTCTTAGGGGGTCTAATGTATTTTATTAGCTGTTAAACCATTTAAAAAAAAAGTCGAGAGGAGAGCCTGGTCTTGTGACCTGTCCAATCATGGAGCTCTCTCTGATCCATTGAGTAGAAAGTATTTTGTGGTATTTGTCAGCTACACACCGTGACCCAATTTTTACGAATGAAATGAGCCACAATGTATATTGCTTGGTGGTGCATAACGGAAAGCAAATCTATTTCAGTTTTCACTATGTGTTTATATCTAGCAAGGAATATAAGTATATTATAGCTCATACATCATTGAGATTCAGTGTGCATTTATGTCCAACCTCCAGACTAGAGCTTGTTTTAGTGGCAGTACTGTCAGGGTCTTAACACAATATCTGGAGCAGCCTTTCTCAACCAGGGTACTCAGGCACCCTGGGGTGCCTTGAGGTTTCTTTAGGGGCGCCTTGGCAAAATGTCTAAAAATTGCCCAAAACTTGTATACAAAGCCAGCGGGTGGAAGAAGCCTGCCTTTTAGTTATACGAAGCCACTTGTCTTCACTGTGCGCCATTACCACCTACTAGCCGCTGGCATCCTGACAACCAATGACATCATCAGTTGATAAGGAGGATCTCAGCTGCCTGCACAGCATCCTAGTTTGACCTTACCCTGCCCCTCTCCATCATTGCTCAGTGATGGAAAAAAACTGAAGGAGAAGAGAGAAACATAGGAATACTAGTCAGTACCAGTGTGCAAAAGTGTATTTGCTTTGAAAGAATAAATCACCTCTAACGTTGGGTGTCCTACATGTGTGGGTGTCGCTGCGGTATATAAACCTATTACAATAGTCTTAGACATTTTAGTATGGGGTGCCCTTTTAAAATGATGGACAGTCTTGAGGCACCCCATTTTACAATGGGGTGCCTCAAGACTATCCATAATATCTAGAGCAGCCTTTCTCAACCAGGGTGCCTAGGCACCCTTGGGTGCCTTGAGGTTTCTTCAGGAGTGCTTTGGCAAAATGTCTACAAATTGCCCAAAACTTTTATACAAGCTTTACGATGGGGTGCCTCGGGACTGTCCATAATTTTAAAGGGTGCCCTGGCTGAAAAAAGGTTGAGGAACGCTGATCTAGAGAATATAGGTGTGTATGACTCTTCAATGAGCTATAAACCGGATGCTCACCTTTTATCTGCATATATAATTCTTCACTTCTTTTAATTACACTGTCGATAGCAGATCTCACTTCACAGGAATAATTCCCAGAATCCTTTGCCTGAGCAGACTGGACTCTATATTGATGAAATGAACTAAATTTCTGTACCTCTAGTCCATCTCTGTAGAAAGCAAACTGCAGTTGTGTCCTCTGTCTGAGCGGACTGAGACTCGTTTCACATGTCAGGGTCATGTTGTCACCCTCTGTCATTGTATACAGCGTGGTGGTAATATTTGGCTTGGTGAACAGGTCTACAATTGAGAAAATCATTATATTTAACAGTTTTTAACTAAAATGGAAAGCACATAAATTACAAGACAAATGTAGAGATCCTGCCCTATGCAGTGATGTCCTTAGCAGGGGCGGACTGACCATTTGGAAACTCGGGCACTGCCTGAGGGCCCGGGGTCAGTAGGGGGCCCTATGAGATGCCCCTGGTACCTTTTTCATAGGCTTTTTTGAGTTTGGGCAAGGACACAGGAGCCCCATGATCCCCTATTGCCCCGGGGGCCCCATGAGTTGTCAGTCTGCCCCTGGTCCTTAGCTTAATTTAGTGTTTTGTAGCTGGGCAGTAAGCAGCTGTTATTTACTTTTTCAGTCTTCCGTAAGTCTGGTGGGTTGATTGCTTCCACCTATGGCTGGGAGGAGGCTCCAGTAAGCAGTGTTGGAAGGTTTTCTCCATGTGGTTGTGAGTTTTTATTTGACCCCACCAATCCCTGAGCAGATGGCTCAGAGGTATGCCTTGGGGAGATGATACAGCTATTCATCCATTGCGGATACTGCCAGCAGGGACTCACAGCAAGACACCAAGTGCACCCAATCCATACCATACTGATATTGCGACCTATACCACACTTATTCCAAACCTAGACAACACCTATACCGCACTATACCAAACCTTTACTGCATCTGAACCACATCTACCTTGCTCTTGTATCATACTGTACCTATACTGCATGCAAGTGAACTGAGACTGTTGTTAAGTGCACCAACACTCTTAAAGGACCCCATCGATAGCCGGCAGAAGGAAATCTCACATGACTGACCCTGCATAATTATTCTGCAGGTCCCTTTGTTCTTCTGCCCCCCCATTAGTGCACGCACAACTCTTTTTCGAAGACTAGCATCACCGTTGTAAATGCTCTCTGGCAGTATAGTTTCAACACTTGGTAGACTGAACATTACTGCTGCTCACTACTGCACTTGAGGTGGCCTTGCTGCTGCTTATGCTGACCTGGATGCCAAATGATTGCTTATACCAATGTATTTCATTGATATAAGAAACCATTTTTACTGAATGAAACTGATTCATTCAGTGTCTTTTGTTGTGATTAGCTGTGATTGCTGACAGCCAATCACATGGTACAGATGGGCTGTGTTTGGCCCTGTCTGTACCATGTAATCACTGTCACCAATCACAGGTATTAACACAATTGTATACAATAGATGGCATGAAAGGAAGCCATCCAATGTTTACAATTCTCATGTGATATGCAGTGATTGGTCACAGCAATCACATGACACTGGCAGTGGGCAGGTGTAGTGATCAGTCATCAGCTATGTCCGGTGGACACAGTTGGTAACAGATCGCACTGCTGTGCAGCCCCGCAGCGCCTTCTTAGAGGACGTCTTATGACGCCCGCTCAAAAAGAGGAAAGTCTTGCTCGGTCATCAATTTGCTATACGCCGGGCAGGAAGGTGTTAATTACCTAGACCAGGGGTCTCCAAACTCTGGCCCACGGGCTGGATGTGGCCCTTTGCTTGCTTTTATCTGGCCCTTGGGGCACTCCACTGATAAGAGGCACTATCCCTTCCACTGACACCAAAGACAGGACACTATTCCCCCCACTGTAACCAACGATGGGACACTATTCCTCCCTCTGAAACCAATTATGGGACACTATTCCTCCCACTGACATCAATGATTGATGCACTATTCCACCCGCTGATACCAATGATGGGGCACTATTCCTCCACTGATACCAATGATGGGGTACTATTCCTCCCACTGATACCAATGATGGGACACTATTCCTCCACTGATACCAATGATGGGGTACTATTCCTCCCACTGACACCAATGATGGGACACTATTCCTCCCACTGATACCAATGATGGGGCACTATTCCTCCCACTGACACCAATGATGGGGCACTATTCCTCCCACTGACACCAATGATGGGGCACTATTCCTCCACTGATACCAATGATGGGGTACTATTACTCCCACTGATACCAATGATGGGGCACTATTCCTCCACTGATACCAATGATGGGGTACTATTCCTCCCACTGATACCAATGATGGGGCACTATTCCTCCCACTGATACCAATGATGGGGCACTATTCCTCTCACTGATACCAATGATGGGGTACTATTCCTCCCACTGATACCAATGATGGGGCACTATTCCTCCCACTGATACCAATGATGGGGCACTATTCCTCCCACTGATACCAATGATGGGGTACTATTCCTCCCACTGATACCAATGATGGGACACTATTCCTCCCACTGATACCAATGATGGGGCACTATTCCTCCCACTGACACCAATGATGGGGCACTATTCCTCCCACTGACACCAATGATGGGGGCACTATTCCTCCACTGGTACCAATGATGGGGTACTATTCCTCCCACTGATACCAATGATGGGGCACTATTCCTCCCACTGATACCAATGATGGGGCACTATTCCTCCCACTGATACCAATGATGGGGCACTATTCCTCCCACTGATACCAATGATGGGGCATTATTCCTCCCACTGACACCAATGATGAGGCACTATTCCTCTCTCACTGATACCAATGGTGGGGCACTATTCCTCCACTGATACCAATGATGGGGTACTATTCCTCCCACTGATACCAATGGTGGGGCACTATTCCTCCCACTGATACCAATGATGGGACACTATTCCTTCCACTGACACCAATGATGGGACACTATTCCTTCCACTGATACCAATGATGGGGTACTATTCCTCCCACTGACACCAATTATGTGAAAAGAAAATGTATCCTCATTTAGTAAACCAAGCCCATGGCATTTTCTACTCTCGCTGGCCACAGTCCAGCCACCCCCCTAAAGATTGAAGGGCAGTATACTGGCCCTTTGTTTCAAAAGTTTAGAGACCCCTGACCTAAAAAAAGGCTTTAAAGAACTGCGGGTAAAAGCTAATAATCGGGTTCTTTAAATGCTTGCTTTCAGCGTTTTTCCTTTCCACAAAGAATTTATTATGCATTTGCAATATACTTTTGAACTATCTAAAAAAAAGACTACTCTTAGGCTCCATGTACACGAGCAGCTCCTAAACTCGAGTTTAGGGGCCTTTGGCATTTTTTTTCCAAAGCTCCTAAACTCAACTCCATAAAAGCCTGTGTGTCCATGTACACACAGGCTTTCAGCAGAGTTTAGGAGCTACATAGTTACATAGTTAGTCTGGCTGAAAAAAGACAAAAGTCCATCCAGTTCAACCATCAGTTATAATCCTATACCCACAGTTAGGAGCTGCTGTGTTTAGGTGAGGTTAAACCTCCCTCTGCTGAATGCGAAAGAATCGTGTTCAGGATAGAAACGTTTTGACCGCCGACCGTGGGAAAATGCAAAATGCGGCAACCGCTGTACTGCATTTTTGCACGATTTGCGTTTTCCCGTGGCCGGCGGTCAGGGTAGGCTCGTACACATGAAGCCTTAAAGTAGTGGTTCTCAACCTGTGGGTCGCGACCCCTTTGGGGGTCGAACGACCCTTTCACAGGGGTCCCCTAAGACCATCAGAAAACACATATTTCCGATGTGTAAAGAGCAGCTACTGTGCAGAAAGCAGCTGCTGTGTTGAAAGCAGCTACTCTGTTAAAAGCAGCTACTGTGTTGAAAGCAGCTACTGTGTTGAAAGCAGCTACTCTATTAAAAGCAGCTACTGTGTAGAAAGCAGCTACTATGTAGAAAGCAGCTACTGTGTTGAAAGCAGCTACTCTGTTAAAAGCAGCTACTGTGTAGAAAGCAGCTACTATGTAGAAAGCAGCTACTGTGTTGAAAGCAGCTACTCTATTAAAAGCAGCTACTGTGTAGAAAGCAGCTACTATGTAGAAAGCAGCTACTGTGTTAAAAGCAGCTACTGTGTTGAAAGCAGCAGTATTGGAGGTAAAATGACACTTCATGAATTATAATTACTGGGTAAATAATTTTATGGTTGGGGGTCACCACAACATGAGGAACTGTATTAAAGGGTCACGGCATTAGGAAGGTTGAGAACCACTGCCTTAAAGAGTCAATTCTCTAGCACAGCCCCCCTCCTTACGCATTATAGCCTTCTCCTATTCTGGGAGTGTAATTACTTTCTGTGCTGGCCCAGCTCCTCCATTCCTTCCCAACCTTTTTATGTAGCTTCTCATGACAGCATACTATTAAACAACTGGCTCCAATAAATGGTCAGATACAACAAAACTGACCCGTTGAAGCTGTGATCTTGGTGGAGAAGGAGTTCTTGCTCACACTGGTATGGGACAGATGGCCCTAGCCATAGTTATTCTTCATAAGTTACAGACAGACAACACCATATACCAGGGGCGGACTGACCATTCGAGCACTCGGGCACTGCCCGAGGGCCCGGGGTCAGTAGGGGGCCCCATGAAATGCCCCTGGTACCTAGGCTTTTTTGAGTGTGGACAAGGACACAGGGGCCCCATGATCCCCTATTGCCCGGGGGCCCCATGAGTTGTCAGTCCGCCCCTGCCATAGACGCACAATGATGAGGACTTACCTCTGACATGTAGGGACACTTCATCTGTGTACGTTACATATTCCTCCCGGGATAATGTTCTCTCACATCTGTATGTTCCAGACCAGTCATAGTTTCCTTCAAGAAAGGGGAAAGAGAGATCCCTGGATGGTCCATATATGAGACGATTATTCCTGTAGAGTGTTGTCCAGTTTACAGAATAATCAGGATGGCTGTGACACTTTAGATTTATGTTTCTTCCCCGATACACAAAGAACGGAGCCTGCAGGATAACCGGACCTACAATACAAAATTATTATTAAACTATTATTATTTTTATTAGAATTATTCAGAATTTATATCGCTCCAACAGTTCGCTCTGTGCTTTACAATCTAAAGCAGTGGTTCTCAACCTTCCTAATGCCGTGACCCTTTAATACAGTTCCTCATGTTGTGGTGACCCCCAACCATAAAATTATTTACCCAGTAATTATAATTCATGAGTGTCGTTTTACCTCCAATACTGCTGCTTCTGATGGTCTTAGGGGACCCCTGTGAAAGGGTCGTTCGACCCCCAAAGGGGTCGTGACCCACAGGTTGAGAACCACTGATCTAAAGGGAGGCAGAACAGTTGCAATACAATAAAGTAGGGACAAGCAGTACCAAAGGGTATAACCAGGACCTTTCTCAGCGGAAACGCAGTTCTGGATCTCCAGCGCTGAATGTACGTAATGGCAAGGGGTGTTCTGGAGGATCTATTGTTGCTGGCTGCGTGGGGATCTATTGTCACTGAAGGGGATCTATTTTTGTGTAGTGGTCTATTGTTGCTGGGGAGGTCTATTGTTGCTGGTGGGTGGTCTATTGTTGGGGAGGTCTATTGTTGCTGGTGGGGGTCTATTATTGATGGGGTCAATTGTTGCTGGTGGGGGTCTATTATTGATGGGGTCAATTGTTGCTGGTGGGGGGTCTATTATTGATGGGGTCACTTGTTGCTGGTGGGGGGTCTATTATTGATGGGGTCAATTGTTGCTGGTGGGGGGTCCATTATTGATGGGGTCAATTGTTGCTGGTGGGGGGGTCTAATATTGATGGGGTCAATTGTTGCTGGTGGGGGGTCTATTATTGATGGGGTCAATTGTTGTTGGTGGGGGTCTATTGTTGATGCGGTCTATTGTTGCTGGTGGGAGGTCTATTGTTGATGTGGTCTATTGTTGATGGGGTCAATTGTTGCTGGAGTCAGTTGTTGCTGGTGGGGGGGGGGTCTATTGTTGATGGGGTCTATTGTTGCTGGTGGGGGGTCTATTATTGATGGGGTCAATTGTTGCTGGTGGGGGGTCTATTATTGATGGGGTCAATTGTTGCTGGTGGGGGGTCTATTATTGATGGGGTCAATTGTTGCTGGTGGGGGGTCTCTTGTTGATGTGGTCTATTGTTGATGGGGTCAATTGTTGCTGGAGTCAGTTGTTGCTGGTGGGGGGGGGGTCTATTGTTGATGGGGTCTATTGTTGCTGGTGGGGGGTCTATTATTGATGGGGTCAATTGTTGCTGGTGGGGGGTCTATTGTTGATGGGGTCTATTGTTGCTGGTGGGGGGTCTATTGTTGATGGGGTCAATTGTTGCTGGTGGGGGGTCTATTATTGATGGGGTCAATTGTTGCTGGTGGGGGGTCTATTATTGATGGGGTCAATTGTTGCTGGTGGGGGGTCTCTTATTGATGGGGTCAATTGTTGCTGGTGGGGGGTCTATTATTGATGGGGTCTATTGTTGCTGGTGGGAGGTCTATTGTTGATGTGGTCTATTATTGATGGGGTCAATTGTTGCTGGAGTCAGTTGTTGCTGGTGGGGGGTCTATTGTTGATGGGGCCTATTGTTGATGGGGTCAATTGCTGCTGGAGTCAATTGTTGCTGGAAGGGATCTACTGTGCATTGAGGGGTCTATTGTTGCTAGCTGCTGGAGAGTCTATTGATGCTGGCTGCTGGGAGATCCTCTGTAACTGCTGGGGGTCTATTATCCTGGGGTGGTGTTTTGCTTTGCGGACCCATTGTTGCTGGTGGAATCTATTGTTGTCAGGGAGGGTCTATTGCTGCTGGTTGTGGGGGATCTAATTTTCTGCTTTTCTGTTTTATCATTAACAAATTCCATACAGGTTATTTAGCACCACAAAATGATACTTGGCTCTGCAATCTCTAAAATGAGAGGTACTGGAAGGTGGGTAGGGGGTGGAGCCAAGTGACAATGCTCGGAGGTGGGTGGGGATGGAACCAAGTGACAATGCTAGGAGGTGGGTGGGGATGGAACCAAGTGACAGTGCTCGGAGGTGGGTGGGGATGGAACCAAGTGACAGTGCTCGGAGGTGGGTGGGGTTGGAACCAAGAGACAGTGCTCGGAGGTGTGAAGGGGGTAGAACCAATTGACAGTGCTTGGAGTTGGTAAGGGGGTAGAACCAATTGACAGTGCTCAGAGTGGGAAGGGGGTGGAACCAAGTGACAGTGCTCGGAGGTGGGAAGGGGGTGGAACCAAGTGGCAGTGCTTGGAGGTGGGTGGGGGTGGAGCCAAGAGACAGTGCTCGGAGGTGTGAAGGGGGTAGAACCAATTGACAGTGCTCGCAGGTGGGAAGGGGGTGGAACCAAGTGGCTATGCTTGGAGGTGGGTGGGGGGGGGGGCAAAGACAAGAAGTATCTCAGAAGAGGGGAGTTCCTGCACCTATTTTTTTTGAGAAAGAAAAGCCCTGGTTATAACTGTGGGGGATGAGCTGATGGAAGTGATAAAAGTCCAATTAGTTGGAGGTGTGATAGGCTTCCATGAAAAGGAGCAGTTTCAGGGATCGCATAAAGGGTTTTTTTTTGGGGGGGGGGGTTGTTTTTTGTTTTTGTTTGTTTTTTTGGGGGGTGGTTTGTGGTGTTGGGGGAGGTGAGCTGGGTCCCTTTTGTGGAGGTGTGGTTGCTGTGTACATACAGGGGACACTCTTTGGTACCATCGGTGAGTGTCTTTTATGGGAGGGCTTCCCCATACCAGGGGTCGGGGGGTCTTTACAATTGGGAGTGATCACCAGGTCTCCGATGCAATGTGACTTCACCTTGAATGTTTTTTTGAGGTTTGCATTTTATGTGTGTAGCCTATTTTCTTTTGTTTTTTTTTTATCATATGCCTTAGGTAGCACCCTTCCAGACTGTTCTGGAGGCACCTCATCATCTTTTCTTTGAATTTTAGTGGACTCCCCGACTTTCCCTTGCCCCTCCCCCCCTTTTTCCCTTTTTTTATATCGCCTAAAGGCAGCCAGAGTAGGAGAAAGTCGGACAGACTGAGGTAAAGACTTCCAGAGGATGGGAGAGGTTTTAGAGAAGTCCTTGAGAAGTGCTTGAGATGAGCATGGGTGGAGAGGACAAGGGAGGACTTGAGAGGAGTGGAGAGAATGGTTTAGTATTTAGACAATCCTAAAGAGTAAACAGAATCTACATATTACAATAACTCATACCGGCCATTTAGATTTCATTCTACGCAGCCAACTGTTAACCTCTTTGTGCCGGCCCCATGCAAATGTGTGGCCTCCTGGCATTTGGGCCTTGACACCAAGCGGCCGTACATTTGCGTGCAATTAAGAAAAACATGTGCTGAGAGCGCGTGCCCTGCACATGTCCGCTACTCACGGAAAGGTCCCAATCTCCTCTTTCGATTGGGACCTTTCCCAATCATGTGACCATTGTGACGGCAAATCACGGCGGTCACATGACCATAAAACCCTGCCCCGCTTCCCAGCTTCTGAAACCCTTAAAGGGACGAGAGGCGCCGGTGCCAAGGGGTTAAGATAGATCTAAACCCTAAGTGGGTGGCATTTAGTTTGATTAAGCACCATGAAGCAGTTCCCATATTGCTCACTTGTCCTTAGTCACATCTTCTCCATCCTCTTTCAGCTACTTCCTCTTTACGCACACATAGACCATTACTCTATGTTGACAATTGTGGACTTTGCCTCCACATCAATTGTCCCCAAGGCCACTTGTATTCTTCATCAGAGGTGCATCTGACAAGGTGACAACACAGGAGCACAATTGGGAGACAGGGACAAAGCATTCCCACCACGGCAAGGACAAGGGGGGGCAGGGATGGGGGGGCGGCAGGAGGGTTGGCTGCCACTGGCACGATGGTGTCATGTGAGGTGGGAGGGAGGGGTCATGTGGAGATTTCCTGCCTACGAGCTGTACGGGACCTTTGTGCGAGGTCCCGATCATGTGATCACTGATTGGCCAATCAGTGATCACATGAATAGTAGTAAGCAAGATGTCACTTCCTGAAATCATTGCTTACTACGTGTGAAATCTGTGAATGATCACAGAGATCACATGGTACAGGGCTATTCACAACAGCCTTGTACCATGTGACAAGCTGTGACCAATCACAGCTCTCACAGTATTTCTCAATGGCTGCAGGAATGCAGCCAGAGAGAAGGAGGAAAATTATTGCTTTTACAGCCTTTATGGGTGTAAAAGCAATCAGTGTAAAAAAAAAAAAAAAAAAATTTCATCACCCCCCACAAGTAGTACAGTGTCACTATGGTGACACTGTACTGCTAGGGAGACGGTATGTAAAAAAAAAAACATACATAATAATGTAAAAAAATAAAATAAAATGTAAAAACATTTATAATTTTTGGTTATAAACTAATTTGGGTTATTTTTTTTTTTTTACTGAAAAGATAACTGAATACATTTTGGCCAAGATTTCTGAAGAAAGATTATTTATTTGCAAAAAAAAACAAAAAAACACTTTTTTTTTTTTTCAAAATTTTTGGACTTTTTATTTTATATAGCAAAAAAAAAAAAATTCCAGTGGTGAATAAATACCACCAAAATAAAGTTTTATCTGTCTCAAATAAAAAGTTAAAAAATTCATATGGGTACAGTGTTGCATGACCGCTCAATTGTCCTTCAAAGTGTGATAGCGCTGAAAGCTGAAAATTGGCCTGGACAGGAAGGGGGTGAAAGTGTCCGGACTGGAAGGTGGTGAAAGTGTCCAGACTGGAAGGGGGTGAAAGTGTCCGGACTGGAAGGGGGTGAAAGTATCTGGACTGGAAGGGGGTGAAAGTGTCTGGACTGGAAGGGGGTGAAAGTGTCTGGACTGGAAGGGGGTGAAAGTGTCTGGACTGGAAGGGGGTGAAAGTGTCCAGACTGGAAGGGGGTGAAAGTATCTAGACTGGAAGGGGGTGAAAGTGTCTGGACTGGAAGGGGGTAAAAGTGTCCAGACTGGAAGGGGGTGAAAGTGTCCGGACTGGAAGGGGGTGAAAGTGTCCGGACTGGAAGGGGATGAAAGTGTCTGGACAGGAAGGGGGTGAAAGTGTCTGGACAGGAAGGGGGTGAAAGTGTCCAGACTGGAAGGGGGTGAAAGTGTCCGGACTGGAAGGAGGTGAAAGTGTCCAGACTGGAAGGGGGTGAAAGTGTCCAGACTGGAAGGGGGTGAAAGTGTCCGGACTGGAAGGGGTGAAAGTGTCCAGACTGGAAGGGGGTGAAAGTGTCCAGACTGGAAGGGGGTGAAAGTGTCCGGACTGGAAGGAGGTGAAAGTGTCCAGACTGGAAGGGGGTGAAAGTGTCCGGACTGGAAGGGGGTGAAAGTGTCCGGACTGGAAGTGGTTAAGGACATTTATGCAGCAGAAGCGCGATTGCATTGTCACTTTTAATTTGATGTTGGACTGCATTTTATTTCATTCACAATTTGATATCATTTCTTATTGCAATTGTTAGTGGAGCGCGACACAAATTTTTTTTTTTTTGTTCACATTTTGACAAACTTGCCTGTCCTAATGTGACCTCCGGTCAGGGGCGGACTGACCATTTGAGCACTCGGCCACTGCCCGAGGGCCCGGGGTCAGTAGGGGGCCCATAAAATGCCCTTGGTACCTTTTATAGGCTTTTTTGGGTGTGCTTTGAGTGTGGGCAAGGACACAGGGGCCCCATGATCCCCTATTGCCCGTGGGCCCCATGAGTTATCAGTCCGCCCCTGCCTCCGGTACAGCAGTGTCACAGATCCCGCAGGTCCTGGGGGTTCCCATCTTCGCTCGGTTTTCTATCCAGGTTCCATCTCTTTGGCTGGTTTTAAAGGCTGGGCAGCGGCAATGTCACCCCAGCAGCCAGAATGAATGTGTGATACATTTATTGAACCAATTCTGCTCTTTGGACGTACTACACACGTCCAAAGAGTGAACCGTACAAGCTGATGGCTGCAGTAGCCATCAGCTTGTGTGTTTCTTGTTCAGCCGACTCCTGGCTTGGAAGTAAAAGTGAACTCCAACCAGGGGCAGACTGACAACTCAGGGGGCCCCCAGGCAATAGGGGATCATGGGGCCCCTTTGTCCTTGCCCGCACTCAAAAAAAAGCCTATAAAAAAGGTACCAGGGGCATTTCATGGGGCCCCCTACTGACCCCGGGCCCTCGGGGCAGTGCCCGAGTGCTCGAATGGTCAGTCCGCCCCTGACTCCAACTATCACAGAGCCGGCAGCGCAGTGCCCCCCTCCTCCTCTCCTACTCTTACTGGAGCCCGGGAACATGTCCACCGGCTAGGGCAGTGGTCGGCAAGCCGCGGTTCGCGAGCCATATGCGGCTCTTTACACACTTTAATGCGGCTCTTCTGTGTGCCGGGCGCCCACTCCCCTCCCTCCTCTCGGGCGGCCGCCCCAAAAGTCAGGACTCTGCAGCTAGCCCAGCAATGGGCAAACTACGGCCCGCGGGCCGTATACGGCTCGGCGGACCTTTTAATCCGGCCCGCGGAGCGTGGGAAACATTGGCTGTCAGGATGCAGGCGGGGGAAGCGTGACGAACTCCTCTCCTCTCACAGTCCGCCCTGAAGACCGGAACGGCGCGGGAACACGGCGAGAGGAACGCGTGGAGCAAAGGTAAGTGAATTGACACAATATGGGGAATGAATTACTATAGGGGGGATGAATTACTATATGGGGGATGAATTACTATATGGGGGATGAATTACTATAGGGGGGATGAATTACTATGGGGGATGAATTACTATATGGGGGATGAATTACTATAGGGGGGATGAATTACTATGGGGGATGAATTACTATATGGGGGATGAATTACTATATGGGGGATGAATTACTATATGGGGGATGAATTACTATAGGGGGGATGAATTACTATATGGGGGATGTATTACTATGGGGGATGAATTACTATATGGGGGATGAATTACTATATGGGGGATGAATTACTATATGGGGGATTAATTACTATGGGGGATGAATTACTATATGGGGGATGAATTACTACGGGGGATGAATTACTATATGGGGGATGTATTTTCAGTTTTAAAAATGTGGCTCTCAAAATAAATTTCAATCGTGGTTTTGGCGAGATTTGGCTCAGTTGAAAAAAAAGGTTGCCCACCACTGGGCTAGTGGAGGGAGAATGCTGTGAGACCGAGGCAAATCCATGCATCGATTTCACATGCAAAAGTGATGTCACTTCCAATTTCAGATGCACCCTTATTGACGCATCTAGATGGTGTGAAGGGCAGGGGAGACATGGGGGTCTATTTGACTCCTAATGTCTCCATAAAGAGTACCTTCCACCTGCCCAAAGCTATCACATAGGGAACGGATGTCAAACTGGTGGCCCTCCAGCTGTTCCCAAACTACAAGTCCCATGAGGCATGGCAAGATTGACAGTTACAAGCATGACTCCAAAAGGCAGAGGCATGATGGGAATTGTCGTTTCGCAACAGCTGGAGGGTCACAAGTTTGACACCCGCCGTGAAATAGGGGTTTATTAACCCCCTGCTCTAGCAATCAATAAAAATAAAAAAAAAAGTTTTAAAAAATACAATTATAATAAAGTATATATATTAAAAAAACTGCAGTAACCCCCATTGCCCAGTACACCTGACCAGAGGCGGACTGACCATTTGGAAACTCGGGCACTGCCCGAAGGCCCGGGGTCAGTAGAGGGCCCCATGAGATGCCCCTGGTACCTTTTTCATAGGCTTTTTTGAGTTTGGGCCCCATGGGGCCCCATGATCCCCTATTGCCCAGGGGCCCCATGAGTTGTCAGTCCGCCCCTGGATCCTACTCACGCCACTGAGTCACTGGCAAGTGATTTCAATAAGAGGTCACTACACGATGACCAAATTGTTACCATTAACTCAGCGGCTGTCGTAGTATCCTGTGCTCATTAAAGTGGGACCGCCATTGGATCCTACCAGGGGCGGACTGACCATTTGGAAACTCGGGCACTGCCCGAGGGCCCGGGGTCAGTAGGGGGCCCCATGAGATGCCCCTGGTACCTTTTTCATAGGCTTTTTTGAGTTTGGGCAAGGACACAGGGGCCCCATGATCCCCTATTGCCCGGGGGCCCCATGAGTTTTCAGTCCTCTGCACCTGACCAAATGCAAACGGAAGCCCAGGGTGTGCACGCGTATGTAAACCGCGGTCGCACCACACATGTGACACATCGCTGCGAACATCAGAGTGAGAACAATATTTCTAGCACAAGAGCTCCTAGTTAACTCTACATTGATGAGCTGTAAAAGGTTTTAAAGCATCACCTATGGTGATTTTTTGTCATCGTAGTTTTATGGCGATACAATGGGCGCAAGCAATTTTAAGACATGGAATATTTGGTATCTATTTACTTGATGCAATTTCATCTTTTATATTTTACCAAAAATGGGTATTCTATTGCTTGTTAATGCTAAAATTAATTTTTTTTTTCCTGAAAATTTGTATTTAACAAAGAGTTGCGCAAATATAATGTGACATAAATAATTTGCAACTATCACCTTTTCATTCTACAGGGCCACTACTTTCAGAAAATATTTAATGTTCTGGGGGTTTAAATAGTTTTATTGACAAAAATTAAGATTTTTACATGTATGGCGCCAAACTGGTTAAATGAAATAAAGCGCTCGGAAGAAATGAACTGATTGGCTCACCATGGCTGACTTCCAGGCTGAATATTAAACTAACACCTTGATTTGTCCGGCACTGGTAGAACCCGCTGTGTCCAACCTGAACAGATGTGATTGTGTAGATCTGTCCTTCTGCCACCCACCCACCATTGTGAAACCAGTGATAAGTCAGGTAAGTTTCTCCATGGCAGGTCATTGATATATTCTCTCCAGTAAGTAACTTGTTCCAGTTTGGTGTGATGGTCACTGGAACAGTTCCAGACATTTCTGAAAGACATTGTAAACAATTATAAGTAAAGAATAACATATTTGGAATTATTTATTAATGTTGAATTGAAAAAGTACAAGAAATGTCTACAATACATGTTGCTAGAACATGCTAGGGCATTCAGAGGTAGCGTGAGGGATGCTTACGTTTTATCGAAGACAGTTACAGCCCACTTCTTTTCCCGCTTGACTCGCAGTGAGTACAAGTGCCAGGAGTCTGTGAGTGAGCCCTTGTAGCTCAGGATTCCCTAGGCCGTGGAGTCCAAGCCCCAGCCTGCTTCTTCACCAGAACCTATGATGGTGGAGATGGCCTTGCAGCAAACTGGAACCAGATGAGACCACTTAGTGTGTGCAGGGTACAACAGCAAGAGACTCAAAGGAAAACCAGAAAACATGCTGAGTCTGTGAGTGAGCCCTTGTAGTTCGGGGTTGCCCTGGCCACGGAGTCCAAGCCCCAGCCTGCTTCTTCACCAGAACCCATAATGGTGGGGATGGCCTTACAGAAAACTGGAACCAGGTGGGACCACTTAGTGTGTGCAGGGTACAACAGCAAGAGACTCAAAGGAAAACCAGGAAACATGCTGAGTCTGTGAGTGAGCCTTTGTAGTTCAGGGTTGCCCTGGCCATGGAGTCCAAGCCCCAGCCTGCTTCTTCACCAGAACCTATGATGGTGGGGATGGTCTTGCAGAAAACTGGAACCAGGTGAGACCACTTAGTGTGTGCAGGGTACAACAGCAAGAGACTCAAAGGAAAAACAGGAAACATGCTGAGTCTGTGAGTGAGCCCTTGTAGTTCGGGATTGCCCTGGCCACGGAGTCCAAGCCCCAGCCTGCTTCTTCACCAGAACCCATAATGGTGGGGATGGCCTTGCAGAAAACTGGAACCAGGTGAGACCACTTAGTGTGTGCAGGGTACAACAGCAAGAGACTCAAAGGAAAACCAGGAAACATGCTGAGTCTGTGAGTGAGCCCTTGTAGTTCGGGGTTGACCAGGCCACGGAGCCTAAGCCCCAGCCTAGAAATAAAGAAAAAACCTCCTGCGCTTAAAATAGAGCCCTAACCCTAGAAGCTGCTGACACTAACCTTATACCTATTAGGTGAAGTGACTAATTAATACAAAAAAGTGTAGCACTAAATAAATATAAAATAAATATATTAAATTAAGAATAATAAACAGTGTAGTGACACACTCAATCCCCTTAAAACCACACAAAGAAGGGGATAACACACAAATTTGTGCAACACGTGTTGCACAAATTTGTGTGTTAAGCCCCAGCCTGTTTCTTCACCAGAACCTATGATGGTGGGGATGGCCTTGCAGAAAACTGGAACCAGATGAGACCACTTAGTGTGTGCAGGGTACAACAGCAAGAGACTCAAAGGAAAACCAGGAAACACGCTGAGTCTGTGAGTGAGCCATTGTAGTTCGGGGTGGTTGACCAGGCCATGGAGCCTAAGCCCCAGCCTGCTTCTTCACCAGAACCCCTGATGGTGGAGATGGCCTTGCAGCAAGCTGGAACCAGGTGAGACCACTTAGTGTGTGCAGGGTACATCAGCAGGCGACTCAAAGGAAAACCAGAAAACATGCTGAGTTTATAAGTGAGCCCTTGTAGTTTGGGGTTGCCCTGGCCACGGAGTCCAAGCCCCAGACTGCTTCTTCACCAGAACCCATGATGGTGGGGTTGGCCTTGCAGCAAACTGGAACCAGGTGAGACCACTTAGTGTGTGCAGGGTACAACAGCAGGAGACTCAAAGGAAAACCAGGAAACAAGCTGAGTCTGTGAGTGAGCCCTTGTAGTTCGGGGTTGCCCAGGCCATGGAGTCCAAGCCCCAGCCTGCTTCTTCACCAGGCCTCCTGATGGTTGGGATGGCCTTGCAACAAGCTGGAGCGAGGTGAGACCACTTAGTGTGTGTAGGGTACAACAGCAGGAGACTGAATAGAAAATCAGGAAACATGCCAAATCTGTGAGTGAGCCCTTGTAGTTCAATCTGCTATAGGCCCGGGCGGAAAGGTGTTAAAAAAGGTCTGGATTCTTTCTTAGATACGCAGAATATTGGATCATGATTTGCTGGGTTTTTTGCCTTCCTCTGGATCAACTGTGGGTGTAGAATTACAACTTTTTTTTTTTAATGGTTGAACTGGATGGACTTTTGTCTTTTTTCAGCCAGTCTAACTATATAATGAATAAATCTGAAATTAATTTTGTTCCATTTGTTATGTTATAATTCTGAGATTCTGATTGATCCACCTCCGTCCAACCCAAACAGAGTGCATAAGTCATCTCCATGTATAGCGAATTAACGTTTTAAAATGAATATGGCCAATCTTTCAAAATACAAATCGATTCAGAACAACGAATATATGAAACGAATCCGAATATGTAAAATAAATTTGTAAAACAAATCATTCTAACATAATAAATATGATGAAACAAAATGAATAAATCCAATACGAAACAAATATTTCCGTCATGCACATCTTTAGCTGAATATCCCACGGCTGAAGTGGTGGTGTGAGTGTTGGCTGAATGTCATATTTCAAACTCATGCAAAGCAATGCCCAAAAAATTCCAAAGAGTGTGCTTAGCCATTTGGCTCAGTTAACTCCCTCCAACCTGGCTGTTGGGGGTCATTTGGCAAGCACTGAAGACATCGGTGATATGCGCCCTTTTTGATAGAAATGTGAACTTAGGGTAGAACAAGTAAAGATGGACTATATGTTCAAGTTGAAGGTCAGTTCAGCTCAAGCATTGACCATCCGTGTGGCAAGGGTGTTCAGTTTGAACGGCAAAGGCTGTTCGCCCACCGTGTCCCACAATGCACTGCGCCCTGACAGTGCATTGTGATTGGCCATAGCAATGCACCTGACCACAGGTCCAGTGCAAAGCTTTGGCCAATCACTGCAAATGATGATACCAAGCCTCCCCCCCCCCTATGTTGAGGACGTGTGGCCTGGTATGGTCCGGGGGAGGGGGGGCGCTTGCTCGTCCCCCCTCCTTTCCTGACCTGCCGGCCTGCATGCTCAGATAAGGGTCTGGTATGGATTTTGGGGGAGACCCCCATGCCATTTTTTTTTTAATATTAGTGTAGGGGTTCCCCTCAAACTCCATATCAGACCTGAAGGGCTTGGTATGGATGGGGGGGACCCCACCCAGTTTAAAAAGGGTCAAGGCACCCTTTAAAATTATGGGCAGTCTTGCGGCACCCCATTCTACAATGTGAAAAGCTATTCTAATAGTTATATATAACGCAGCAACATCCACACATGTAGGACACCCAACATTAGAGGCGTTTTATTCTTCCAAAGCAAATACACATTTACACACTGGTACTGACTAGTATTCCATTGTTTCTCCTCTCCATCAGTTTTTCTACATCACTGAGATAATGTGACCCCAGCACTGATGGAGAGGGGCAGGGGAGGGTCAAACTAGGATGCTGTGCAGGTAGCTGACATCCTCCTTTTCAACTGATGACGTCTTTGGTTGTCAGGACGCCAGCAGCTAGATGGTCGTAATGGTGCCCAAAGAAAACCTGTGACTTTGTGCAACTAAAGGCAGGCTTCTTCCTGCTTGTATATAAGATTTGGGCAATTTGTAGACATTTTGCCAAGGCACCCCTGATGGAACCTCAAGGCACCCCAGGGTGCCTGGGCACCCTGGTTGAGAAAAGCTGGCTAAGTGAATTGCCCCCTCTGTTTGAAGTTGAAGGTCGAACTTTTGTTATGTTCGACCACAAACCGAATAAGGTGTTCTCGGCCCATCTCTAAAAACAAGATGTTCTCTTATCTGTTGTCCACCCCCTTCCCCCCTCCTGCCTGCGCTTGGTTTGCAATCAGATCATTTTAATTTACTGCTTAGCATTTTGCAATCTACAAATATAAATTCGCTCAGTTGGATTTACCTGTGTAGGAAATAGTGGTCCCGGCGCTGTACGTTTTGGTGACAGGAAAATGTTTGGAACATCTGTAGGTGGCTGTCAGGTCTGTATGTTTTACAGTCAGTTGTAGGGTATAGTTGGTGGAGGATTTCCAGAGTGTCTGATTGTTCCGGTAGAATATTGTCTGCATTGCAAGTAGTTCCGGAGGACTGTAGCATTGGAGAGATATGTTGTCACCTTCATATACATAGAGAGGAGCCCGAAGGATGACCGGACCTGAAACACACCGTGAGATCTGTTATATCGGAGGATGCGATGATTTACCATCGATGGAAACATATCATTTTGTGTTAGGAGAAACTACAATTTCCATTTAATTGGATGCATCTTTCATTTATTAAGACATTAATGACATGAGTAGATGGTCTCCAAAATACCAAAACTGACAATAAAATACAATGTGGTATTTGGCTATTTAAATGGTTTGTTTAGATATTATACTTTAAATTAGTAACAATGAAACTGAAATTTTCATATGGACAGCTTTTAATACCTCAGTACTGCAAATTTATCATTTTAGTAGTTTAAAACTACAATGTGCGCCTAATTATAAGAAGATAAAAGCGTCCCCTTTAAGCCGCTCAGATGGGGTAATGATCCCTTTAAGCAGCACCTTCCTCCTTCTTTGACTGGAGACAGAGAGCCGAGTGAGAGGCTGAAGAGGAGAGCACACAGCAGGATCTTCATTGGTTGCTGCTGCTGAAGTGTTGACAAGCCCACTCCTAGAAATGGGCAAGGGTGGACTGTGATTGGCTTCAGCAATCAAGAATGGTAAGCCCCATCCAATACCAGATGGAGAGAACAATGTGAGCATGGAGGGCAGGCAGAATGTGGGAGAGAGCACAGGATGGGGTAATGATCCCTTTAAGCAGCTCAGCAGCACCTTCCTCCTTCTTTGACTGGAGACAGAGAGCCGAGTGAGAGGCTGAAGAGGAGAACACACAGCAGGATTTTCATTGGTTGCTGCTGCTGAAGTGTTGACAAGCCCACTCCTAGAAATGGGCAAGGGTGGACTGTGATTGGCTGCGGCAATCAAGACTGGTAAGCCCCATCCAATACCAGATGGAGAGAACAGTGTGAGCATGGAGGGCAGGCAAAATGTGGGAGAGAGCACAGGATGGGGTAATGATCCCTTTAAGCAGCTCAGCAGCACCTTCCTCTTTCTTTGACTGAAACAGAGAGCCGAGTGAGAGGCTGAAGAGGAGAGCACACAGCAGGATCTTCATTGGTTGCTGCTGCTGAAGTGCTGACAAGCCCACTCCTAGAAATGGGCAAGGGTGGACCTGTGATTGGCTGCGGCAATCAAGAATGGTAAGCCCCATCCAATACCAGATGGAGAGAACAATGTGAGCATGGAGGGCAGGCAGAATGTGGGAGAGAGCACAGAATGGGGTAATGATCCCTTAAGCAGCTCAGCAGCACCTTCCTCCTTCTTTGACTGGAGACAGAGAGCCGAGTGAGAGGCTGAAGAGGAGAGCACACAGCAGGATCATCATTGGTTGCTGCTGCTGAAGTGTTGACAAGCCCACTCCTAGAAATGGGCAAGGGTGGACCTGTGATTGGCTGCGGCAATCAAGAATGGTAAGCCCCATCCAATACCAGATGGAGAGAACAATGTGAGCATGGAGGGCAGGCAGAATGTGGGAGAGAGCACAGGATGGGGTAATGATCCCTTTAAGCAGCTCAGCAGCACCTTCCTCTTTCTTTGACTGGAGACAGAGAGCCGAGTGAGAAGCTGAAGAGGAGAGCACACAGCAGGATCTTCATTGGTTGCTGCTGCTGAAGTGTTCACATGTCCACTCCTAGAAATGGGCAAGGGTGGACCTGTGATTGGCTGCAGCAATCAAGAATGGTAAGTCCCATCCAATACCAGATGGAGAGAACAGTGTGAGCATGGAGGGCAGGCAGAATGTGGGAGAGAGCACAGGATGGGGTAATGATCTCTTGTGGTGCTAGGGCTTGGAGCCAGCTTCGTAAAGTTCCCAGGAGCCCAGGGTTGAAATGATGTGCATTGGGCTCCATGTACTAGGAGACCAGAGCTGGCCTGTGTGCTAGAGACTAGAGAGCTGCAGAGACTATGTGACATATTTCTGCTGTGAGAAGGCCATGGGATTTTTTTTTCTACTAGTAATGGCGGCAATCAGTAACTTTTAGCGGGAATGCGGGACTGCGGCAGACATTCTAACACTGGGAGGGGAACTAACTTGTGTCACTGACATCCCCACCTATATGGAAGAAAAATATATTTGAAATATATTTTAAAAATATTCTTCCAAAATATATAAACCTATATTTGAAATGCTACAATTTTCGCCATATTCAATATATTTAAAAATATATTTCAATAAACATATATATACATACTGTATGTTGAAATGCATTTTTATTACAAAATATATGAAAAATATTATTAAAAATACATTTCAAATATACTGTATGTCTTTAAAAATACAAATCTACATTTTTGGAATGCAATTACCAATATATGTAAAAATATATGTCAAAATGTTTTTATATGTTAAAAAAAATCTGAAGAATATATTTTAAAAAATATATTTTTTAAAATATATTCTTCAGATTTTTTTAACATATAAAAAGTCATATACTTTTACATATACTTGGATTCCAAAAATGCAGATTAAATGTATTTTTAAAGACACACAGTATATTTGAATATTTGAATGTTGATATTAGATGACCTTACCATGGCTAACACTCAACGTGACAACCTCACTTGTGTCGCCAGTGCTGGCACGGCACTTATAATATCCGCTGTGTTCCATCCCAGCAAATACAATCACATAGTTCTTGCTTCTAGATATCTCAGTGTTATTATGGTACCAGAGATAGAACAATGCAGGAGACTCCACATTGCAGGTCATTGTTATAGATTTTCCTAAGTGGATCTTATTCCAGTCTGAATTGAAGGTCACCACTGGTCTCATTGCAGATCCTGTGGGATATTAAACATAATCTATAAAAAAAATCAGAACATCTACCTCAGTGGTGTATGTAAGGTTTGTGCTGGCCTAGGCAACATGAAAATCGGCCACCTCTGTGGAGAGAGCCTGACACTGACCAACGCTACCCTCCCACCCCCGCGGAGGAGACAGCCTGACACTGACCAATGCCACCTTCCCACCCCCATGGAGGAGAGAGCCTGACGTTGAGCAACGCCACCTTCCCACCCCCCCGCAGAGGAGAGAACCTGACACTGACCAACACCACCTTCCCACCCCCACGGAGGAAAGAGCCTGACACTGACCAACACCACCTTCCCCACCCCCGCGGAGGAGAGAGCCTGACACTGACCAACGCCACCTTCCCACCCCCCGCGGAGGAGAGAGCCTGACACTGAGCAACACCACCTTCCCACCCCCCCGCGGAGGAGAGAACCTAACACTGACCAACGCCACCTTCCCACCCCTGCGGAGGAGAGAGCCTAACACTGACCAACGCCACCTTCCCACCCCTGCGGGGGAGAGAGCCTAACACTGACCAAAGCCACCTTCCCACCCCTGCGGGGGAGAGAACCTAACACTGACCAACGCCACCTTCCCACCCCTGCGGAGGAGAGAGCCTAACACTGACCAACGCCACCTTCCCACCCCTGCGGGGGAGAGAGCCTAACACTGACCAAAGCCACCTTCCTACCTCCGCGGAGGAGAGAGCCTAACACTGACCAATGCCACCTTCCCACCCCTGCGGAGGAGAGAGCCTGACACTGACCAATGCGACCTTCCCACCCCCTGTGGAGAGGAAAAAAGAGAGAAAGAGGCAAGAGAGAGAGAAAACATAGAGAAAAGAGAAAGAAAGAAAGAAAGAAAGAGAGAGAGAGAGAGAGAAAGAAAGAAAGAGAAAGAAAAAGAAAGATGAATCCAAACCAAACCACGAAGGGGAGGGAGGGTGGGGGAAGCTTCTTCTTCCAACTTCCCCCACTGGACTTCCTGAGGTCGGACCCTCCTTTTCCTCCCCCTGTGAACCCTCCCCAACATCCCCATCCAATCAGGTAAGCCATAATCCCAAAACGTCCTACCCTTTTTTTAACCCTATATGTTGTCCCTCTAGTCATGTCGTCCCTGCGCTTAATTTTTTTTTTTTGCTCCTGGCCTACCTTTCTCCATTGGACGTATCCAGCTGCCTGTATTGTGAACAGTAGTGTTGAGAAGGGGATGGACATAATGGGGGATCAGGACATCCTTAGAGAGTTAGATGGGCAAATCTAATAGGAACCATTAAGAATTTGGTTTTATAAAAATGTTTGTATGTGTAAAATTTGCTAACAATTAACAGAATATTTGCTGACGTCATTTGATTCTGAATGACTACATACCCATACATTATAAAAAAAATAAATGATGTGATACATCATTTTCTAGCGTACAATATGTGTATGAAAAATGCAAACTTACCTAGCTGTCCAATCAGAGCTGTTAGAGAACAGAGAGGAAAAAAAAGAAGTATAAATAATTAATGTGGTGTGTATTTAAAATTAATGTTTCCCAAAACCTGTCCAGTTCAAAACTGGGCATATGATAAATGAATACATAAGCTGAGATGACCTTCAATAAAAATTGATCATGTCAAAATAATTACTAGACCCAGAGATATGGGCAGCTGAATTTTTTTGTCCTTAAAATCCAAATCCTTAAAATCCCCAAAAATGTTTTTTTGCTGGACCTGCCACTAATTCCTGTCCTCCTGAGTTACACTTAAGATAACTACTACTCAAGGTCCACCACAGCCCACAGACTCATGCACAGGACTATCATCCTACGTTCAGAGTATATGACATTTATAATGTGATTTATATCATTGTGGCCAAATCATCCATTCTGGGGACTTGTGTGGTCTATGCTCACATATTAGGCAAATATTTGAATTAATACTTTATATATATGTTGTTGTTTTGTTTATATATTTACAGTTGCAAGAAAAAGTATGTGAACCCTTGGGATTACGTGGAGTTTTGCATGAATTGGGCATAAAATGTGCTCTGAACGTCATCTAAGTCACAACAATAGAAGAACACAGTCTGCTGAACATAATACTACACACACATTAGATGTTGCCATGGTTTAATTGCACATAACATGTAAACATTCACAGTGCAGGGAGGAAAAAGTATGTGAGGCCCTAGCTTAATGACTTCTCCCAGAGCTAATTGGAGCCAGGAGTGAGCCAACCTTGACTCCAATCAGTGTGATGATATTGGATGTGTTGCTGACAGCTGTCCTGCCCTTAAAAAACACACACCTGTTTTGGGTTTATTGGTTTCAAGAAGCACTGTCTGATGTGAACCATGCCTCGCAGAAAAGAGCTCTCAGAAGACCTACGATCAAGAATTGTTGACTGGCATGAAGCTGGAAAGGGTTACAAAAGTATCTCAAAAAGCCTTGATGTTCATGTGTCACGGTAAGACAGAAAGTCTACAAATGGAGAAAGTTTAGCACTGTTGCTACTCTCCCTAGGCGTGGTCGTCCCAGTCTCTTACCCTGCAATGTGGACCATTTGATTCAATGGTCAACAGCGGGAAGAAACAACAAATAGGGGTGTGCAGAGATGAAGGCTGGACCTGGGGCAAAAAGCCTCAACAATGGATGATAGGCACACAGGCAATTATGACCAATGGTCAAAAGAGCTTTAGATGAATAAGGGTCTCCCCATACCGCAGCTCAGAGTGCAAGGAATAGTAAACTAGAAGGTTGCCAATACTTTTTTACAATGTTATGCCATCCCTCTGTGGTCAGCACTTTATAAGTAGAGATGGGTCGAACACCCCCCTGTTCAACTTGAACTTTGAACACAAACAATTTTCTGATCGGTATCTTACTGCATTTGAGTGTTTGGTAATATACGGCTCAGTTACTAAAATATGGCATGAGTTATATTATTAAGTCCAATTTAGGAGTGAAACATTTATTGATGTTTCAGCTCTTGGTGGGGTTGACAGTTGAATGTCAAAAGAATTGTTGGCATTGCCTGACAATTAAAAAATGTTTTTAAAAAACAGCATAGGGTGCGCCCTCCCATCCATACCAAGCCCTTCGGGTCTGGTATGAATTTTGAGAGGAACCCCCATGCCAAAAATGTTTTAAATGGTGTGGGGGTCCCCACAAAATCTATACCAGACCCTTATCTGAGCATACAGCCCGGCAGGTCAGGAAAGGGGGGGATGAGCGAGTGCCCCCCCCTTCCTGAACCATACCAGGCCACATGCCCTCAACATGGGGGGTGCTTTGGTGCGGGGGTTCCCCCTTGAAGCACCTTGTCCCCATGTTGATGGGGATAAGGGCCTCTTCCCCACAACTGTGGCTGTGGGGGTCTGCAGGCGGGGGGGCTTATCAGAATCTGGAAGCCCCCTTTATCAAGGGGGCCCCCTGAACCCGACCCCCTTATGGGTACATGGTATCGCAAACCCATTTGCAAAAATAAAAGTGTAAAAAAAGAGAGGAGACAGTCTTTGACAAGTCCTTTATTAAAAATAAAAATTAAAAAAAGTCCCCCTAAGTAGATCCAACGTCAATCACGATGCCCGCCACCTCCGCTACCCAAAAAAATGAAAAAAAACCCCACTGCGCTCGCGACTCTGGCTCCCGCTGTCGGACAGCTACGCCCACGATGACAGTTCTTATATACTGTTATGACGTCACAAGGGCGCGAGGTTCACCCACCCCCTTGTGACATCATCAGACACTTTAAATGGTCAAAGCATTGCGCCTGACCTGTGGTCAGGTGTATTGCTTGACCTATCACAATGCACTGTCAGGGTGCAGTGCATTGTGAGGCGCGGCAGGAGAATAGCCCACTGATCGCCCATATCGTTCGTGTGTTCGCCAAACACATGAACGGTCAATGTTCGAGTCGATCTTATGTTTGACTCGAACATGAATCCCATCCCTATTAATAAGGGCAAATTTCATAACACAGCAGGACAACAACTTGAAATAGACTTCTTATCTATGCCAAACTATGGGAAAAGAAGACGGAGTAATGTCTTTTCCGGCAGAATTACCAGATCTCAAATCTGTCTACCTCTTGTGGGAACAGCTTTACCAAAAGGTCAAAGAAAAGATCACCACTGGGAAAAACTAAAGATGGGGGTTGACTGACCATTCGAGCACTTGGGAAAACTGCCCGAGGGCCCAGGGTCAGTAGGGGGCCCCATGAAATGCCCCTGGTACCTTTTTTATAGGCTTTTTTAAGTGTGGGCAAGGACAAAGGGGCCCCATGAGTTGTCAGTCTGCCCCTGGTTGGAGTTCACTTTTACTTCCAAGCCAGGAGGCGGCTGAACAAGAAACATACAAGCTGATGGTTACTGCAGCCATCAGCTTCTACGGTTTACTCTTTGGATGGGTGTAGTATGTCCAAAGAGCAGAATTGGTTCAATAAATGTATCACATTTTTGAATGTGGGCAAAGACACAGGGGCCCCATTATTCCCTATTGCCCGGGGGCCCCATGAGTTGTCAGTCCGCCCCTAGTAGTAAGGTCATCAAAACTGTAATTCAGGGGTGTCAAACTCCATTTCATCGTGGGCCATATCAACATTATGGTTGCCCTCAAAGGGCTGGTTGTATCTGAAAGACTAGATGTCCAGAGCACCCCCATCTTCCCATTACATCAGATGTCAAGAATCCCACACCCCTCCTAACATCACTGTGCATCCTCTTTGGGGGCAGAGCTGGAAAGCACAGGGTCTGGAGGAGGACCAGAGGAGTCAGTTTCCAGAGTCTGCTGAATGCTGAGACCAGGGGAGGCAGAGATGAGGGGGTGCTGCAGCTGCACCGAGAGGTGCAGGATTTGGCAGAGGAGTTCTA